AGGGGGGCATAATTGTAATGACATCCATGCTTGGTACCTTTTTGACAGTGTCATGAAAGGGAAGGAGCATAGACATTATCACATAAAGCCAGGGTGAATAGCGTTTTCACAACTATGGTGTCAGGAATACATGTTTGTATTCCTGACACTATAGTGTTCCTTTAAGCAAATTAAAGGAACATTCTGGTCACCAAACAACTTCATCTAAATTAAAATGCTATGATGCCAGGAAGCCCCTGGGTGCTCTCTTTCCTTTAAGGGTTTAAACCGCTCTCACATGGTTTAACCCCAAAGGCTTCCTCCAGCTCCAGGTCGCTCAGTGGTATTCGGCATCTGAAACAGAGTGTCAGGAAGTGCAGACTGACGTCAGGCATGGGTGCAGATTGGCTAGAGTTGACAGTTGACGCGCTAAGCCTATTGCTAGTTTCCGGTTCATAAAAGTTTTTTATGTTTTTATGAATGGGGAGCTACTGATTGGCTTAGAGTGCCAGCTTACCGCTCTAGCCAATCAGCAGCACCCCTCCCCAGCGGCACTCTGTGCTTCCTGACACTCAGTAAATAACAGTGAACACATTAACACCAATATTTTTTTTTACCTGGGAAGATGAGAAGGTCCAGAGTTTCCCTGCCAGGCCCAGGTACCAAAGCCTTATGATGTGGTGTCCAGAATAAAGTGGAGGGTTCACTTCATTTGTCCTTCTTGCTCCAATCTCCTTTTCTTCTCCTTCATTTGACAGTCTTCTTTTTCTTCTGACACTGTCTTCTATATTTGGCTCCTTCTGCTCCTTTACCTTTCTGCTCCTTTCTGCTTATTTTGCGCCCTTCTGCTCCTTTCTCATTCTGATTCCTTTCTGCTCCTTGCAGACCCTTTCTGCTCATTCTCCTACTTTAGCTTTGTGCTCCTTGCTGTCCCTTTCTGCTCCTTCTTCTACTTTACCTTTGTGCTCCTTCTGTCCCTCTCTGCTCCTTGCAGACCCTTCCTGCCCCTTGCTGCCCCTGCTCCTTGCAGACCCTTCCTGCTCCTTGCTGCCCCTGCTCCTTGCAGACCCTTCCTGCTCCTTGCAGCCCCTGCTCCTTGCAGATCCTTTCTGCTCCTTGCTGACTCTTCATTTAGGCAACCCCCCCACGCCTCACTTTCCTAATCTATAAACTGTCCTCTCATGCCTCACTTGCCTAATCTATAGGCTACCCCCCATGCCTCACTTGCCTAACCTACAGGCTGCCCCCCCATGCCTCACTCCCCTAATCTATAGGCTATTTTATACCCCCCCACCCCGTCCCTCACTTACCTCATCTGTAGGCTGTCTCTGGCTGCATGTGTTGCTCCCCTGCGGTTTCAATCAGCAGAGAGAAGCAGGGATAGATGCAGCTTCCTATCCCTGTCTCTCTCCATACACAGCGCCTGCTGGCCGGTATTGCAGTTCATTTTAAATCTCGCTGAAAAATCCAGCCCATGCTCCCCTTTATTCCAGTCTGCTGCTGCTGACTCTGTGCCTGATCTGCCTTCTTAGCGGACATCATCAGACATCATCTGAGCCAATCACAATGCTTTCCCATAGGCTAAGACTGTGAAGGAGGCAGATCAGGGGTAAAGCCGCACAAGCCAAACAGCCCTGGCCAAAACGCATCTCCTCGTAGAGATATATTGAATCAGTGTATCTCTATGAGGAAAGCTCAGTGTCACCATGCAGAGGGTGGAGACACTGAATGTCAGTGCAGCACAGCCCCAGGAAGCTCCTCTAGCAGCCATATGAAGAGTGGCCTGTGGAGGTAACCCTAGGCTGTAATGTAAACATTGCATTTTCTATGAAAAGACAATGTTAACGGCAAAAAGCCTGAAGGGAATGATTCTACTCACCAGAACAAATACTGTAAAAACAAAGCAGCAGTAGTTTTGGTGACTTTAGTGTCCCTTTAAGAAAGTTAATTTATTGGCAGGACTAAAAAAAAAAAAAAGATAGTCACCAATTCCCTCTTCCTGAGTGATAGGACGTTTCTCCTCTCGACCTCACCTCTAATATTCACAGTTCTCCAACAAAAACTCACTTTCATTTTTATCAAATTTTTTCCATGTATAAATTATACCCATTACATTGACTAAAAACTCTTCTATGTAACTCACTTGTGTCACAGTTGCAACACATTTATATGATCGAACACTATTTCAGCAAGTTAAATATATCCCAATGAATTCCAGCTGTTAAACGTGTGTATATAATACAGGAAGCAGTTTTGTTTTTACCACATTCAGTCAGGAGAGAATGTTGGTATACCTGGGTGTGTATCTGCTCAGGTGCGTATATATAATCTACTCATAATGCAACTTGCCCTCTTGTATCTGTGCTGCTTGAAGAGGGAGTTAACAGAGCTTCCTTGTTGTCCAACCATGCTCTGCATTATGATCCTGAGCACCTATTTCAAAACCAACCCCCAGAACATGAACTTCTGTAATCCAACATGAGTACCTGGATTTGCTGCTTTGGTAGAACAGAACGGACAAAGAATTCATGGTAACTTATCAGTGAGAGAGACACTTGAACCAATGTAAAAGTGAAAGTAACAAAGTTCAAGGATTCACAATAAAGCGAATTGTGATCCCGTGAATCAAAACCCGTTTTTATACACACCACCACCATACTAGCTCTTACTGTTTTGCAGTATTGCATAGTTTTGCCAAATTTATCTATAATTGTTCCCGAGTCCTTTTCATTTAATGTTATCCTTACCTCGGCCCCATTTAATGAATAAGTGGCTTGTGGGTTTATTATTCCAAAATTCGTGACTTTGCCACTTGCTTGTCCAATCCCTCAATGTATCCAAATCCCTTTGTAGATAAGTTATATCATGCTCATACTGTATTATCTTACCTAGCTTTGTGTCTTCTGCAAAACACTGACAAATAACTTCCAATGCCCACATCAACATCATTTACAAACAGATTAAAGAACATTGGGCCGAGGACAGAATCCTGAGGCATTCCATTTACTACTTTTGTCCAACTTTATTTGGGTCATTTTCCATTTACAACTTTCTGTACTCTTTCTTTAAACCAGTGTTCTATCCAAGAAACCTTTTTTCATCTAAACTAGTGCTTCCCAAACCAGTCCTGAAGTCCTGGATTTAGGGATTGCCAAGTTGTCTAAGGTGTTTTTAGAAAAAAAAAAGAAAAAAACACACTAGACACAACTGGTTCATCCCTAAAACCAGGTTTGGTATGGGTGCCTTAAGAACTGGTTTGGGAAGCACTGGTCTAAACCAATTAACTTCACTTTTTCGAGTAATCTTTTTTTGTGAAACTATCAAATACCTTACAAAATCCATGTAGACCACATCTCCTGGATCTCCCTGATCTATATTTATATTAACTTCTTCATAGATCGCAATTAAGTTGGTTTGGCATGACCTGTCTTTCATAAAACCACGTCGATTCCTGCTAATGTTATTATTATTCAAAATGAATTCTTGAATGTTATTCTTTAACAGCCCCTCAAATAATTTACCTAACTGAATTAGCCACTAACTGCTTATTCCATTGTTAAGAACAAAACAAAAAGAAAGCAAACCTTACAGGGTTAGTTGCTGAGGACAAAGGTCGGGAATTCAGAGTGCATTTCAAATTAAAAGGTTACTTTCCTGGTTGGCATGGCGATCCAGTGTCCCCAATTTCTAAAGATGCAAGTGCTGCGCACATTTGGAGTGTTTTCATAAAGGCTCACAAGGGGAGCCACATCATTTCCGTTTCTATGTGGTCCACGTTGATCCGGCGTTCCCATCCAGGCACGTCTTGGGCAGTTGAGACGTCAACCAATCAAATCACATCTATCAGTATATAAGGTTTTTTGGCCCCATTTATCTGTCATGCTTTCTGTTCCTTTTAACAGTTTTTAGTGCTTTTAATGCTCCTGTCTCATTTTATTAACTGAATACTTTGGTAACCCTTACCTGGCTAGTTTATACGTCCTTCTGATATTCCTTTTTCCTGATTCCGGACACTTTTATACGATGACTCTGTCTCTTCATTATCATAACCTAGGCTTTTATATGACTAAGATTTCTCTCTTTTTTTGTATGTTAACCCCTTATGCTCTAAGGTTCTGGAATACGTTTGGTTTTATCTGGTCAGCTATTGTTATCCTAGACTCTGCTTGTTAGGGTATATCCCCATGACAAAAGCCAAATGTGTCTTGGATAATTTTTCAATTTTGGTTAATTTGTCCTTGAATTTAAAATTCACTTTGAATTCCCAACAATTCTCATTTTAGTGAACAGCTTATGCTTACATGATTATTTACCCAAGTGAGACTTGTTGCGATTTCAAAGTAAATTTTAAATTTAAGGCCACAATAGTTGAAATTTAAAATGTTTCCAAGTCAGCCATGTTTCCCGTTTAGCTGCTTTGGCCTTAATTGTGAAATTCACTTTGCAATCCAAGCAATTCTCATTTTTTAAAATATGCCTGACCGTTTCTTACCTTGTTCTCAATGAATATAGTCCTGGCAATTATTTTTATCTATGCATGTTCAGTTCTGTAAAAGTTTCATAAGAAAAAGCATCTTCCTAAATGAGTCTTAAATTTGCATTCATGCTTTTCTTTAAAGAAAATAGCGTTACATTCTCACTACATGCTGTGCAGTGCATCCTGAATTAGGCCAAGGAATGGGGTGTAAAAAGTAGGGTAAGCGGTGAATTAATTATTAGGGCGATCAGTTTAAATTGAATAATATGAGCTGAGATGAAATGTCTCTTTCTTATTTGCAAATATTCATATCAACAATTAAAGGGACATACTATAAAGGGACCCAAACCACTTAATCTCAATAAAGTAATCTGGGTGCCATGTTCTGTAGTTTTAACTCTGCAACTGCAAACATTTCCATTCTCCATGCATAGTATTGATGCCTCTGGTGACTGTCATACTGGCCACCACTAGAGGTGCTTCTGCAGAAATAGCCAAGTAAAACGCTACCGCAGGGCTTCCCAAACTTTTATGGGTCGAGACCCACTTTTCAAAATGGTAATTTTTCGAGACCCACTTGCTTTTAATGCATATTTTAAAACACCATGGCAAATGGCTTTAGAGGCATACAATTGGCACAATCTGCTTTAGATGCATACACCGTGGCAATCAGTTTTAGAGGCATAAAATTGACACATCATGGAAATCCGTTTTAGATGCATACAATTGGCAAACCATGGCAATCCGCTTTAGATGCATACAATTGGAACATTATGGCAGCTTTAAATGCATAAAATTGGCACACTATCGCAATCAGTTTGAGGCATAAAATTGGCACACCATGGCAATCCGCTTTAGGTGCATACAATTAGCATACAATGGCAATCCGCTTTAGATGCATACAATTGGTACATCATGGCAATCTGTTTTAGATGTATAAACTTGGCACATCATGGCAACTTTAGGTGGGTAAAATTGGCGGACCATGGCAATCAGTTTTAGAGACTTACAATTGGCACACCATGGCAACCAGCTTTAGAGGCATAAAATTGGCACACCATGGCACAGTTTTAGAGGCTTACACGTGGCACACAATGGCAACCATATTTAGAGGCATAAAATTGGAACATCATGGCAGCTTTAAATACATAAATTTGACACACCATGGCAATCAGCTTTAGATGCATAAACTTGGCACATCATGGTAATCAGTTTTCAGAGGCATACAATTGGCACACCATGGCAAACAGTCAGATGCATACAATTGGCACACCATGGCAATCAGTTTTAAAAGCATAAAATTGGCACGCCATGGCAATCAGCTTTGGAGGCATACAATTGGCACACCATGGCAAAGAGTCAGATGCATACAATTGGCACACCATGGCAATCAGTTTTAAAAGCATAAAATTGGCACACCATGGCAATCAGCTTTTAGCTGCATATAATTGGCACACCTTGGCAATCCGCTTTAGATGCATAAAATTGGCATAACATGGCAGTTTTAGAGGCATAATTGTGAGATATCACGGCAGTTTTAGAGGCAGAAACTTTGCAAATCATGGCAATTCGTTTTAGAGACATACAACTGCTTACTCACAGACTCAGAATCAGAAGTGCTGTTGTCCTGCTCTTTCATCCAGGCACCCCACGTTGATTATCCCAGTGGTGGAACTAATGTAGAGAGGACCCTGGTGCAAGTATGTTTTCTGGGCCCCCCTTTAGTGCAAGTGTGGCCAAAAGGTAGATCTCCATCTGTCGGAGAACTTCAACAATGCTATGCCAGATGGGGATCTACCGTTTGCGCATCATTGCAGGGTTATATTTGTGAGCAGTGTTTGAGCGTTTGAATGTAAGCATGTTTTTGTATTAAGTATGGGTGTATTTGTATGTACTGTTGCTTTTGGAATGTAGTGGTGTACTTGTTTGTAATGTTTGCGTCTGAATCCATGAGTGTTTGTATGTAGTGTAGGACTTTAAATGCAGGTGTGCTTTTTGTGTGTAGTGTTGGTGTTTGAATGAAGGGGTGTTTGTAGATAATTTTAGTGTTTTAGTGCAGGGGTGTGTTTGTATGTAATGTTTGCTTTTGATTGCAGTGCGTGTGTAGTGGATGCAGTGTGTGTGTGTAGTGGATGCAGTATGTGTGTATTGTGTTTATAAAATAAACATACACAATGTGTTTTTGAATGTAAGCATGTTTTTTGTATGGAGTATGTGTGCAGTGTATACACACACTGACACAGACCCACAATGACACCTAGTTTCCCACACACAGATACAGACACTCATGTACACAGATACACACTGACACACAATACACACAAATACACACACTGATACAAAAGGACACACATATACACATACACGCAGGGACAGCAGGTGAGGGTGACAGT